GAAGTTGGGTGGGGGTGTGAGGTTGTGTGATGCAGCATGGTAGAGCGAGACGTTGGTTGACCTGTTGTCCCTACAGGTGGTGGTGGTGGTCCTCTTCTTGGCACTGTTGGGACTGAGCCTCTACGGCACCACCATGGTGCATGACGGACTCTACCTGACAGACATTGTGCCGCGGGATACCAAGGCTCACGCCTTCATCTCAGCCCAGTTCAAGTATTTCTCCTTCTACAACATGTTCATCGTCACCAAGGGTGGCTTCCACTACCCGGGTGCCCAGGCTGCCCTTCTCAGCCTGCACCAAGCCTTCAGCACTGTCAAGTACGTGGTGCGTGAGGGCAACCATGACCTGCCCAAGATGTGGCTCCACTACTTCCAGGACTGGCTGCGAGGTAAGGGGCATCCCCAGAGCTTCCACCCCAACCTTTATGCCAAGAAATACCTTCCCAAATGCATTGCATCCTCTGGAGCCCCAGTGGGTGGGAGGATCCCATGGTGTCCCCATGGTGCCCCCAGGGATACTCACCCCATGCTTTGTCCCTAGGGCTCCAGGCCACCTTTGACAGGGACTGGCAAGCCGGCCGCATCACCCATGATAGCTATCGCAATGGCTCTGAGGATGGGGCACTGGCCTACAAGCTCCTCATCCAGACTGGCAACAAGAAGGAGCCATTCAACTTCAACCAGGTGCTTGGGGATAGAGCTGGGGATGGAGCAGTGGGGCTGGGGATGGAGCAGAGGGGCTGTATCCTGAGCTGTGCCCACCACTCTTCTGACCACCATCCCTGCCACCCCCATAGTTGACCACACGGCGGTTGGTGGATGAGAATGGCATCATCCCCCCAGACACCTTCTACATCTGCCTGACAGTGTGGGCCAGCAATGACCCCCTGGGCTTCGCTGCCTCTCAGGCCAACTTCTACCCACCGCCGCCTGAGTGGATCCATGACAAGTACGACACTACGGGCGAGAACCTGCGAAGTGAGTGAGCGCCTAGCGAGGTCCCCGTGGCCCCAAGCATCCCCTGGCATGGGGACGCTGCTCCCTGCCCCTTGAGAAACCCCCAGCATCCCTCATCACATGGGCATCCCGTGATGGAGATGTATCCTGCATCTTCTTGCTCTGCACTCTCTTTGCCCTACACCCCGAGCATCACTCTGTACCCCCAACTCCTTGTCCCTAGCCTTGTGATACTCATAGAATCATAGAGTAGAATCATTAAGGTTGGAAAAGACCTCAAAGGTCGTTCAGTCCAACTGTCCACCTACCACCAATATTGCCCACTGACCATGTCCCTCAGTGCCACATCTCTATGGTTCTTGAACACCTGCAGGGACAGTGACCCCACCACCTGCCTGGGCAATGCCCAGCTACTCGAATGTGCCCAGGCACATACCTTGACTGCATTCACACGAAGTTGATTTCCTCTGTGCTACCCTATGCTCTCCTCCTCAGTCCCAGCAGCCCAGCCACTGGAGTTCGCCCAGTTCCCCTTCTACCTGAGCGGGCTGCGTCGCACAGCCGACTTCGTTGAGGCAATTGAGAGCGTGCGGGCCATCTGCCAGGAGGCGGCCCAGCGCCATGGCGTGCTGAGTTACCCCAGCGGCTACCCCTTCCTCTTCTGGGAGCAATACATCGGCCTGCGCCACTGGTTCCTGTTGGCCATCAGCATCCTGCTGGCCTGCACCTTTCTCGTCTGCGCCCTGCTGCTGCTCAACCCCTGGACGGCCGGTATCATCGTGAGTGTGTGCCCCCGGTACCTGCTTCTTGGGGATGGATGCCCATGTGGAGGTGGCGGTGGGTGGAGGACACCTGTAGCGGGAATCGGGAATAAAATCATAGAATCATTGAGGTTGGAAAAGACCACTAAGATCATCTAGTCCAACCATCAACCCATCCCCACCATGCCTACTCAACACGCCACTCAGTGCCACATCTACCCTGATTTGTAAGGATATTCCTTGTGAAGGGCGTGGAGAGCATCACCCAATAGATGGCAAAAGAGACACCCCAAATTGAGCAGGAAGAGACAATAGGTTGAGGACACAATCATCCTATTATGGTTTGTGTTGGGCATGGCGTGCACTGGAGCACCCCCTCGCTGACCCCTCTGCTCCCAGGTCTCCATCCTGGCCATGATGGCGGTGGAACTGTTCGGCATTATGGGGCTGATGGGCATCAAGCTGAGTGCCATCCCTGTGGTCATCCTCATCGCTTCAGTTGGCATCGGTGTGGAGTTCACTGTCCACGTGGCCCTGGTGAGCAATGGTAGACCCCTGCCTGTCCATGGGGCACCCCAATTCCACCCCTGGACCCAGTGTCCCCCTCACCCCATCAGGATGAGCCCTCCGTAATCCTCCCACCTTCCGCAGGGCTTCCTTACGGCAGTTGGGAGCAGGAACGTGCGCTCAGCTGCCGCCTTGGAGCACACCTTTGCCCCTGTGATGGACGGTGCCGTCTCTACCCTCCTGGGCGTCCTCATGTTGGCCAGCTCTGAGTTTGACTTCATCATGAGGTGAGGGCTGGGGACCCCATCCGGCAGTGCTGGGTCACAGTGGGGCTGGGGGGGGGCAGTGAGCCCACTCAGCCCTCTGCCCATCTACCTGCAGGTACTTCTTTGCGGTGCTCACCATCCTGACGCTCCTGGGGCTGCTCAATGGGCTGGTGCTGCTGCCTGTCCTGCTATCAGTCATCGGGCCACCCTCCGAGGTATGACTCCCATCCCATGCCCACCTGTCCTAATACCCCATTGCTCTGTGCCCTACCTTCACCCTACATCCATCCCTGCCTAGCCCAGTCCTGATGTCATCCCACACACACCTACCTCAGCCTTCCCCTCACCTAAGCCTCACTCTTGCTTTTTACTCTATTCCTTCTTTGCCCCATATCCAGTTGTCCCATCCCTGCTTGACCCCATCTCTGTGTGTCTCTGACACCCCTTACACTATCTCCTCTCTCCCTAGGCATCTCCTGTGGATAATGGCCCCCGCCTGCCCCCAGCAGAGCCGGTGCCCCCGTGCCTAGGCCCTGGGGGTCTGTACATCCGCCGTGCCCCCGCCTGGCCCGCTGCCTTCACTGATACCTCAGACACAGAGTGCTATGGCGATGGTGTGGGGCCAGGCAGCCCCCAGGGACCCTTCATTGTGCCCCCTGCCCCCGCACACATTCTGCTGGAGGCTGGCAAGGACCCCAGCTTTCCCCGCATCACTGTGAGTGTCTCCATGTGTCTGTGTGGTGGTCGGATGGAGCCGAGGGGCGGAGACGTGGGGGTTGGCAGGGTGGTGCCAGAGGGATGCTCAGCCACCCCCACCGTGCTCCTCCTTAGGTGCTGAAGCCCTACAAGGACAGCCCGGAGGTCCAGGGGAAGAAGGAGCAGCCCGTCCCCCAGCCTGCAGCTTCACTGCCTTTAGGGGAGCCATGCCCCACACTGGCTAGAGACTACCCACACCCCACAGCACTGCCTCGGCCGGGTCAGCCCTGCTCCTCCAGTGCCTGGCCAGCCCCTCGGGCCCCCCTGCCAGCCTACAGCACCCACCTGCAGGGCCCTGCCGGCAGCTACACCACAGTCACAGCCACTGCTTCGGTGACGGTGGCGCTGCACCCCACGCTGCCTGGCTCCTACCCCAGCTTTGGCACCGAAACGGACAGTGTGGAGGAGCCCAGCACCATGCCTGACTCCTTTGAGATGCAAAGCCTGGGACGCCACGGGGCAGGCACCCGGCGCTAGGTGAGCTGGGGGCACGATGCCCACATCCCCCTCCTTGTTCTTGCCAGCTGCCCAAACAGTGGCCTAATGCTGCAGAAGCGCTACTGGGTGCAGGTGCTGTTGCATGGCATAGGGATACAGTTTGGGTTCTGAACTCTGAACTCCCAGCTGATCTCCCGCTGTCTCCCCACAGGTCACCAGCTCCATGGATGGAACCCAGGCTGGCAACTCCCAGCATGGAACAGAAGGTGCAGAGCGGGCTCGCCCGTGTTGTGCTGCTAATCGCCCTAGCGGCGATGCTCCGGTCTCAGCCGAAGAGGATCGGCCCCCCACGGCCCCACACCCAGGCTTGACAGGGCAGGCTGGCGTTCCTATGCAAGCTATGTGCAGGCCGTGCTGTGCCAACAGGGCCGTGTCTCCCTATGTGCCTTGGGGTCGCCCTGTGCCTGTGCTCCCCAGAAATGGAAGCACTAACTCCCCCTCTGTTTCTGGAGCTGCTGGCACAGGAGCGCAGAGCCCAGCCCTCTGCTCTGCCACCTCCCTTCATGGGGCCACCGCCTGCTCCCCGTCACCTCCTCCTGGGACCCCCCCCGGCCACCTGCTGGGCTGCCTTTCCCTGGTGCCCCCCTGCCTGATAAGGCAGGTACCCCAGAGCCGTGGGCAAGGCCCAGGGTAGGCATCCCCCACCTTTATTTATTTGCAAAGGGAAACTATCTATAGAGAGATATATATTTTTAAGCTTATTTTAAAAGATTTATTTCTCAGCCAAGGGCCTTGTCAGGCTGCTTGGGGTGGGGTAGTGAGGGGCTGCCCCATGTTCCCCCATCCTCTCTGTGCCTCAGTTTCCCTACCAGTGAGCACAGGAGGGACAGAGCTGGGGGATGTGCTGGGGAGCCTATTGCTGCCAGCACACAGGCAGGATTTGGGGGAGGGAGAAGGGGTCCTTGGGGTGCTCCTCGCTGTGCCAAGCCCCTGCGATGTCCCACAGTCACAGCTCTGCCCTGTGTAGGGCACTCACACTGCCAATGGGCTCATCCAGCTGGGAAAGCAACTTTCTTGCCCCGTGTCCATGCAATGGGGCCATCTCCCCCTGCCAACTCCCCTCCCCATCCCGGGCACCATCCACGCCGTTACCCAGCACTTTAACTCCAGCGGTGTTGCTGTGCCCACTGCCCTGGCCCCCTGACACTGCTGCTGTGCTGGGGTGGCCCTGGGGTCCTCGTCCCCGTGCCAGGCGTGGGCACGGTGGGCAGCCGCCCCTCCCCCCCCCCCAACCACGCCATCTAAGTTATTTATATCAAAGAGAGCAAAGGTTTATTTTTGTAGTTTGTACAGGCGGTAGTGGGGACTGAAGGTTTATTTTTAAAGAGTAAATATATATATTATATATAAATTATCCGCTGTGTCTGACCCTGTCTCCTGGGGGGCACAACTCCGGGGGTGGATGAGATATACACAGCTGTGCGTGCAATGGGCTGTGCAAAGAGGACGGGGGTGGTGATGGGGATTTTGCAGCCCAGGCTGTGCTGGGCTTGAGTCTGGGAGCTGCCTCATGCCACGCTGAGGCCCTTCTTCGTCTCTGCCACGCGGGGGCCCTGGTGCACTCCTGTAGCACAGTCCTGCTGCCAGCGGAGGGCAGCACCGCCTCGGAGAAGAATGAGACCTGGATGGGATAAGGTTGAATGGGGGCTCATCCTGTGCCCCCATCCCATCCTTCGGATGCCCCGGAGCCCCGCACGGGCATGATCCTCCTATCCTGCCCCTAATCTGTCAAGTGGGGGAAAAGTGCTTTATTGCTGCTCCAGGAGTGCTCAGCACCTACTACCCCCTGGAGCAGAAGTGCTCCAGGGGGCAGGAGGGAGGCATAGGCCCTACTTGCTGTGTGGGTCCAGGTGGCGATGGTGGTTGCGGGGTCGCGTGCCGTGCCGGGGCCGACACAGGTGGGGGGGCACCCCGCTTCCACACCGCAGTGCATGGGACCGCCAGGCTGCTGCGATGCTATCGACCTGCCCAGACGGGGACAACAGTGTGGGTACCCCAAACCAGCCCCATGACATCCCCAAGAAGCAACAGGGCACCCCACAACTCACTGGGATGAGCAGGTCGCGTTGATTTTGGCTTTCCAGCGTTGCCAGCTCGCTGGGTGCCAGCAAGGGCAGGCGCAGCTCCTGCACAGGCAGAGCGGCCACCTCAGGTACCGGGCGCCCCAGGACTGCCTGTGGGACATTAGGGATGGATAGATGGAGCAGACATTGAGGGGTTTTGGGAGAGCACCACCCCGCCGTGCCGCACTCACCGAACTGACATGCGCCCACTCCCGCACAGCTTGCACCAGGTCCAGCTCATCTGCAGCCAGGTGGTCGCTGCGCAGCACCCGTGCCAGCACCGTGTCGGAGAGCTCGTGGAAGCCCCGTGTCTGCACCACTGCCTGCGAGTGCACTGCTTGAACCAACACCCACCTACAGCCCTCACACCAACCCTGTCTGGCACCCCAGCACCCCCCCCCGGCCCATCCCCAGCCTGGCTTCCAGCACCTTCTCCCAAAAAAACCATTTCCTCCCCAGCTCCAGTCCTACCATTCTCCTGGCCCCATTCCCTTGCCCCACACCGTGTCCCTGTTTGCTCCCTGTTTCCCCTTGCAGCCATACCATGGTGTAGCTCTCAATGAACGCCAGGCAGTGCTTCTGGAGATCTGCCTGCCCGTAGGTCACTGCAGCCTGTGGAACATGAGAGACACCCGTGAGGGTCCCCAGGGCAGGAGGGACCCCTCCCAAAGCCCCTCTTGAGAATCCTCCCCATGCTACCAGCCCTGAAGTGCTCTCAGACTCAGGTAAGAAGAGCAGCCCCATGCACGGTGCCAGCACATGGGGCAAGGCACCCGCTCTTAGCCAGCCCATGGCAAAGGGTTTGGTGGCTCCAGCCAGCCCTAGTTATAAGCAGAAACATCCAAGCTCTCACAGACACTCAGGGACATCACCAGGCTCTGGGTGGACATGAGGTTGCCCACAGTCATCTTTTCTCACCTAGACACAAGGTTGGCACGCGGCCCTTTGAGGTGTACCCCCTGCGCCACCACGCAGCCTGCCCTGTTGTCACCATTCCCTGCTGCAAAAGGAATCTGGGGGGGCTTTTATCCTCTCCCAGAGTAAAACTTACCCCTAGGCTGACTCTGCCCATTACTGTACCCTTCTCAGGTCATCGTAACATGCCCTCATCCCCAGGCAGAGACAGCCTGTGCACGTGGGGTACAAGGGATCTTACAGTGTCACCTCCCCCACAGCCTTGGCTGGGACTGGAGCTAATGCAAGCCAGTAGGGCAGAGCGAGATGTTTACTTCAGGTTTGTTTTGTTCTGGGGTTTTCTGATTCTTTCCTCTGAGCCCAATTTAGCTCTGTTTACACCATGGTGGTCAGGTACCACGTGGGATGGGAGCTTCTGCTCACCAGGGCCAGCATCTCACTGAGAGGCATCACTTTGGTCATGGCTGTAGGGTCAGTCCTGGGTGCATGGGGTATATAAATCATCTCCCATCCTTGCCCTAGGAGCACGAGGCAGCAGTCCCACCAAGTAGTCACAGGGCCTCCCAACTACTCCTGAGTGGCCCAAATCTCAGCAGAGTTTTGGGAAACGACCCCAAAATCCATCCTGGGGAATTCTATCTGGCCCTGTGGAGAGGAGCACGGTCTTGGGGCTGTGGTGGCCCACACCAGTGTGATGTCCTCAGGGGACAGGACAGTTGCTGAGTGGGAGGGGAGGAAAATCCTGCCCCATCAGCCAACTCAGACTCCAAAATAGCAGAGTTATTTTTACTCTCTGTGACGCTCCTTGGGAAGTTGTCACTGTTTTTTCCCCAGCACCCCAGGCTGATCCTCGCCCTGCAGGTGGCCCATTGCCCACATGGGGGACCAGAGCACCATCCCTGCTGGCCACATCAGAGCCAGGTGCCACTTACCTGCAGGGCCTCACAGACCTGCTCCACACTCAGCGTGTCCTTAATGAACTCCACACAGAGCTGCAAGGTGAACGGGAGAGAGTGGGTGGCCAGAGCAGGGGACCCCACCGCCATCCCCGTGATGTTCAGCATCCCCTCAGCCCCCTGGACACAGGACATTGGATAGGGGTGGAGGAGCCCCGTGGGGTTCTGTAACATATTGGATGGGCTGAGGGGAGAAGTTTTGTGGCAGAGCATGTGAGCAGAGATTCAGCTGTGGTGAGAGTCTGCAATGATCAAACCCAGGCCAACTGCGTATCCTGAGGAAGGTGACCCAACTCCAGCCGTGATCCAGTACTGCCATGAGGACACTGTCCCCAGCTGTAAATACTGGGTGACCCCAGCTCTCCCTGCTTGGAGAGGAGCATCTGTGGCTGCAGTCCGAATGCAGCTGGGACACAGCCAGATGGATTCCTTCCTGCCCACCCCACATGCCTCCCACATGGGGACACAAGCCATGTGGGGACAGAGGGCCCTGGGAAACCCAAAGTGATGTGATCTGTGGGGAGGAGCCATTTGCTGGAGCAGAAGGGCCCTGAGTCACCCTGCAGCTGGGGACAGAGCCAGGGGCTTCCCCAGCTGTCACTTGATCCCCACCTTCACATGCATCTACTGATGAAGGAATTGCTCTGGGGATGCCCTTGCTGGATGACTGCAAACCCCCAGCTCTACACCTCACACTTCTGTCCACCTGGTGCCACGGCTGGGGTCTTGCTGAGCATGTCCTTGTGAGACGTGGGGCTGCTCTGGCAGCTCTCACATCCTCAACAAACTCCTTCCCCACTGCACTGCTGAGGGAGGGGAAGTCCGGGTGTGAGGTGCAGGTCACGCGATAGGCCCAGCCGTAATGCAGGAATGGCTCTGGTGACGTGTCCCAGCTGCTCAAAGAGCTCCCTCCCCTTGTCCCACTTCCCGTCCATCTGCCTGACTGCATCCCTAATGGAGCCCATCAGCTCCCACCGCTCCACTTTGCTTTCTGCTGCCTCCCCAAGGCCTCCCAGCCCGCAGCAGCCCCAAAGGGTGCCCAGTGCTCCCCAGAGTGGGACTTTCCCAACAGCATCCTCCTGACACAGCCAGAAGGCACCCGAAGACACTGGGGCTTTCCTATTGCCCTTCATGGGGTGGGAGATACATGATCCTCTGTCCTGCCGTGGGGTTTTCCCAGCTCTGGCTGTACTGGCGTGCTCCTCAGCATAGCAGCATAGAGAACTCACTACCCCAAGTCTAAGCAGGGTCATACCTTGCAAAGGTCCTGCAGGCCGTACTCCACCGATGAGGTCAGCACCTCTAGCACCTATAGCACAAAATCATAGAATATCCCAAGCTGGAAAGGACCCTCAAGGATCAGAAGCCAATTCCTGGCTCCACAGCAGACCACTCAAATTCTATGTCTAAGAGCACTGTCCAGATGCCCCTTGAACTCTGGCAGCATAGGGCCTTGACCGCTGCCATGGGGAGCCTGTTCTATGCCCATTGCCCTCTGTTGCAGAATGTTTTCCTGATATACCAGCACATATATATGTGTAAAATTTATATACATATATATATATATATATATATATATATATACACATACATACTGGGCATAGCAGCTCAGGGAGCACTGGGATGCATCCCCCTTTCTCTATGAAAGTTCTGGGCTACAAACATATGGGAGAGGAGCTGCTGCAAGATAGAACAAAAGCAGAGCTCCCCCTCTCTGATATCCCTGTCCCACACTCATGGTTGTCCCAAGCCACCTGGGGAACACGGTACACTTGACACCTCACAGTGCTGTACTGAGGCTCCACATACTCACTGCACAGATGGCCAAACATCCCTTGGAGCAACAAAGCTCCCCTCCACCCATTAATTTCCCCATGCATTCCCCCATCCCCACTCACAGTATGGCTGTTGAGAGTGACGCTGTTAGTGTAGAGGAACTCAATGACGGCTAGGAAGACTTCTGGCTGCACATTGCCCAGGATGAAGGGTCCCTGAGCTGGGACACTGCTGAGGGGATCCTCGTTGCTTGTCAGCATCCCCCGGAATGCCTGGCAGCGGCATGCCAGCACACAGCGATGTGCAAACACCTGCTGCTTCTCCCGGCCCACCACGAACGTCACATCACTGTTGGGGAGAGGGAATCATGAAGGACAGGGAGGACACCAACCCCAGGGCTGGGACAGGGCGCAAGGTGGTGGGTTGATTGTAGGGCATAGGGTTCCACTGCCTCCCTGGCTCCTCCAGCCCCACAGTCTTTGTGCAGTTGTGCTGGCTACAGTCCTGTTATTTCCTCATCCCCTGTTGTGCTCTTCTCCAGTCCCAGTAGGGCAGCAAACCTGTCCCTCATGGTGACCCACTGAAGGTGAGGACACCTGGCCCATCCCAGGTCTGGATCTGAGCAGTGCCATATGAGTCCTCCATAAATCCAACAGCAAAGTGGACTGAATAAAACTTCTCCATGGTTGCAGTCTACAGGGGAAGGAGGAGGAAGTGGAATGTGGGGTGTAGGCTGTGAGCTGTGGGATAGGGATTACAAGCCACAGAGTGCAAGATCTAGGTGCAGGATGCACAGGGTCAGGGCCTAGGTCAGGAAGCACAGGGTGCAGATTTTGGGTTGCAGGATGCAGAAGAAACGCCGGTAGATGCAGAGTGCAAATTTCACAGTACAAAAGCTGGAGGATGCATGGTATAGGATGCGATCTGAGGATGGCCAGACCCCCACAGAAACTTTCCTGGCACTGGAGTTTGTGGGGTTTTCACTGGGATTTCTCTTCTGGGTGGCCAACACAGGATTTCTTGTGATAACACCAATGCTTCTGCCAGGCTTCGGCATGAGATGGGCAAAGGGGACCACACACGTTGACCACCCAGCACTGCTCCTGGCAGGAACACCGCCAGGGCCCCGTGGGGCTGCCCCCTGCTCCACGGCCATGAGGTGTCAGCAGAGATAGCGAGAGGAAGCGCGGCTGAAGCCAAGATGGAGCAGGAGCAGATAGAGGAGGGGGGAACGGCCCAAGAGCCGTGCAGAAGTCATGCACATCCCATAGGCTGCCAGGAGCTTCCCAGGGGAATGCCGGAGGGGAAGATGGCGGCAGCCAGCCTTCCCCCTCACCTGAACTGGGGGTTGTTGACCAGGGAGCGGAGGGCAGCGGTGAACGCGGCCGCCTCGCCATGCAGCCGGGCCGAGCAGGAGCGGGCCATGGGGAGGACGGCGGAGGAGGAAGGCGGGGAGGAGGCCGGCCTGGGGAGGAGGCCGCAGCGTCACGGCCCATTGCTAGGGAAACAGGCAGGCGGGCAGCTGGGCTGGGAGAGGCACTGGGGCCGAGTAAAGGGGAGGCAAGCGGGGAAGCCCACCCTTGAGCTGCTCTGCAGCCCTCGGGTCTGCGTAGGAAAGCGGTGGATGCGGGTGGAAGGAAAGGACAGCCAGAGCCCAAGGAGCAGAGTGCAGCTGCCGGCGTGCTTGGCAGCACGAGCCTGCAGTGAGCTATAAATACCTTCAGCAGCAGATAGATACACAAAGGCCGTCTCCACTTTCCCTAAATAGATCTGCAGTCGGGGCAGACAAAGGCACATTGATGGGGCAGCCGGGGCGTACCAGCAGGGCTGGGCTCCATGCAGGGAGAAAACTCCACTTGGGTTCCAGGCAGAGCTGTTCCAACTTGGGGCACGGGTGCAGAGGGATCCCCAGCACAACATGGGGCTCAGCTGCCCCACTGTTGTGCTCAATGGGTGCCCAGGCCTGGGAGTCCTGGGAGAAGTGGCACCTGGGGATGATATCTGGGGCAAAAACATCAAACCTTGGTGCCGCTCCCAGCAGAGTTCACACAGCTTTTCTCCATCCATTGCAGTGGATGCTCATGAGGTGTTTTTTGAGGTGTCCAGGAGGAGAAGCCTATATCACAGGGCACTGTGTCCCTAGTCTGGCTGCAGTCCAGGCTGCAGCTGGCAGCAAGCTGTGGGGGAAATGGGACAATAGGGCAGCGCAGGCAGCAGGAAACAAAGAGTTACGGTGCCACGGGGAGTTTCAGCGTCACGTAGCAACCCTTCTTGCTCCAGGAGCTCAACAAGCTGCAAGCCAGGGGAGAGGTGGGTTCTGGGCAGCTGAGGGGCAAATGGGAGTAGAGGATTTGGGGGGGGGGGGAAGAGGGGGGGGTTGGAGAAGGGGCTTCTTGCCCAGGGCAAGGGTCTCAGAGATTCTTCTCCACTCCAGACCACCTGTATGGCTGAGCAGCCATCCCTAGAACTGGCAGCATCCACGCGGGTGATGGCTGTAGACGGCACTGAAGCCCCTCATCCCCGAGCCATCCACCGTGGCTCCCACCCCACAGCTCCAACACGGGGCCCAGAGGAAGGCAAAGCCCCACCGCTGCTTTCCCGCCGCAGCTCCATGCTCAGCACCCTGCCAGGCCCCCCAGGCAGCCGCCGCAGCTCTGTGGGGGCAGCCCCAGGGGGAAAGAGGCCCTCCGTGGGACCCTGGCTCCTCCACAGCCGTGTGAGTTTCTCAGGGCTCCCACTTTTCCAACCCATTCCAGAAACCCACCTGGAAAACACGTACAGGATGGGGCCGAAGGAAGGCTGCAGGTTCAACGCAGGGCGGGTGCAGCGGGTGCTGGAGGGAGTCCTAGCCAGGGTGCTGGGGGGCACAGCCTACAGCCCCCAGGGCAGCACAGTGCTGCTGCAGAGCCTGGCTGAGCTGCTGCGGGGCCGGGCAAAGGAGGTGGTGCCACCCCGCTACAAGCTGGTGTGCCAGGTGCTGCTGGGCCAGCACAGCCAGCAGAGCATGCTGGTGGCCAGCCAGGCACTTTGGGACCCTGAAAGCGATAGCTTTGCCTCTGCTTCCTTCTGCAATGCCTCACTCTTTGCTGTTGCTATAGTGCATGGGGTTTACTTTGAGTAAAGGTCACCTGCCCTGACCTGTGCTCAACCTGCAGCCCTACACGACTAGTGCAAATAAATAACTTTGCATCACGCCTGACTTTTATTGCATAGATCCAATGATGGCACAGGCAGAGATGCCCCAGGGTTTGGTGGCCTTCACCATCATAGTTTTCAAGACAACCCAAAGTACAGCAAACAACTCCAAATTCGGACTCTGCTTCTTTTTTCCCCTCAGAGGTCAGTGCAGGCAGCAGCTCAGGGCTGGACAGGGAGGACACGGAGCAGCCCATAACCTTTCCCACACTGCAGGCTGCTCCCAGGAAGAGGTAGCAGCAGGGCAGGAGGTGATAGATCATGTTTAAAGCAAGGCTGCAGAGCAGGATTAAGTCCCTCCTCTTTCCTGGCTTCACTCCCAGTTCACATCCCATTGCATCAGGCAGTGCAGAACATCCCACAGCCCTCAGCTGGGAGTTACTTCCCCCTGCTTTCCCCAGAACTGATACACTGGGGGGATCACATATCAGGAAGAGGCAGCCTTTCTTCCAGTTTCTACCTCAGCATCCAGACACTCTACCAGATCTCATCACCTTCCCTACCCCTCCTCCTTCCCCCACATCTCCATTTCCCTCACCTTGACAGCACTAGGCAGCAGCCCTGGATGCTCTGCTCCACAGCCTTGAGAAGCCACAAACATTTTATGACCTAAAACCCAACACCAAACAATATGAGAACGGATTGCCTTTACACAAATAAGGTTTTAATGAGGTAAGTCAGGGACAGGGGAGCTGCACATGGACAGACCAAGAAGAAAATAAATAAATTCCATATAAATAAGATGCATAAATAATCCCAACTGGCAGAGACTGCCTTGAAACAGGAAATCTGCCCTTAGCTTACAGCCATACAAGGGTTTCTCGAGGCAAGCCCACAGATCCCTTCCCCCTGCCCTCTACCAAACCTCAAGTTGTACCAGACAATTCAAAACTGGGGGGCAGCCGGAGCCCAGCTCAGCCCCCCTCCCTAGTGTAGGGGTTGTGGAATGGCACAAGTCAATCCATGCAGCCCTGGCAGGGCAGGCATCACCCTACAGCCGTCGGTCCCTTGGAGGGCATCTGCTCTACCCTGCAGCACCAAGCCTTGAGCTCACGGCCATGCAGAGAGAAAGACAGTGATTGCCTACAGCCAGGGAGCAGCATGGATGTCCAGACCCGCTGCCAGGGCCACATTCACGTCTTAGATCAAAGTCCAGCTGAGCACCACAACACCTCCCATCCCATGGGAGGGCAAGAGGAGACCATCTACGTCCTGAGAAGGTCTCCAAAGCCCCATGCTAGGCATCAGCCCACTCCTGGAGGAGCTTGAGGATGTATCGGAGGCAGTGCTGGAGCTCAGGTGAACAGCCCAGCTCTTGGATGCTGCACAGCTTGTAGGTGTAGGAGTTACGCTCCCGGTTGATGTAGGTGACAAGGCATGAATGGTCGGGCTTGCTGATGATCACCTTGGTGTGGTCATTGTAGAAGTTCACCTGGGAGACAGGTGGGGCTCAGTTTTAGCTCATACCTCCTGCAGCACAGCTCCATGCCTGCTCCCACCACACTTCCTGCCTCAACCTGCTCCTCCTCCCCAACCTGCCCAGGAGCAGTCCCACATCAGGAATGCACTGGGGCACCTGACCAAAGTGTCATGCCTCCCAGGGGACTGGATGGGCTGTGCCACCAGAGCAGCATCTCACACCCAGATGGATCTATGTATTCAGGCTGTAGGAGTCAAGATTTAACCCAGCATAGGAGTTCCGGGCTGGCTTCTTCCCCATAAGGGTTGGGGCATCCCCACTGCACATACCTGTAGGGTGCCATTGCTAAAAAGCATGAGCAAGGCCTGGTCAGTCTTCACCCACTGCAGGAGGAGCAGGGCCGGCTGTCCAAGGTCATCTATACTAGGCAAGTCACCTCCCTTAGAGAGAAACATCTACATAAGCCATTGGTCCCACACTGTCACCACGGTGCGCATGGCCACATCACAGCAAACACCCTCTGGGGTCTCTGCTAGCAGGACACAGCCCCATGGGGGCCTGCCTGGCCATACTCACATGGCACAGTCATGTCCCAGTGTCCAACCCAGCATCTCAGCACTCACCTTCATGAGATGCTGCTCCATATAGGATGCAAAATAGCGCAAGACACTCATCTGTCCACGCAGCTGCTCAGGGACAGCAGACACAGGGAATGCGAAGTGCTTGCTGTTGGTTGGGTTGTAATGCACTGTCCTGGTGGAGAGCAGAACATGAGTTTCAGGGCCACTGGGCACCAAACCACCCTAGGCTCAGCTTTCTCCCATTCCCTCCATTCCATACCCACAAGGGCACTGCTTACTTGTGGTTGGGGGACAGCATCATGTGTGTGCCGTTGTTGAAGAGGACCCCAATGCTGTGGTTGGAGAGCTGGTAGCCAAAGCCATACTTGTTGGAGTAGTCCACCCACTTGCTCACCCAGACAAACTGTTCATGTCGGGCCAGGGAAGCCGGGTTTCTCTCCGCTGGTAGAGAAGAACAGAGTGAGCAGAGCAGGCAACCCCTCCCCCCTCCCCAGCTCCTTGCCTTAGGGTCAGGCACCCGAAGCAGCACCCATGCCTGCATCCCACCAGCTCAGCAGGTTTACCTGGAGGCATGCAGGAGAGGCAGGTGCGCAGGAGCTGCACAGCAGACTCGATGATGGCAGAGGTGGTGATGCAGTCTTCAAAGGCTACAGAATGGAAGATGACAGGCTGTGAGTCAGCTGGCCCCGCTATCAGTCAGGGCAGGGCAGGAAGCCCATGCTGGGACAGGGAGGAGCTGCTCACCCTCACAACTGCTGGCCATGGTCCCACGGACAGAGGGGGATGTGGACTTGTGGGATGTCTCTTCCACCAGTGTCTCCACAGGGCTGGAGCCAACACTACGGCAGGACACAGGGGTGGCCTGGGGAAAACCCAATATTAGCACCATGCTGCTGACCCCTCCAGGAGTGTGAAAGAACCCAGGGCTGCTCTCACCTCATTCCCCTCCACTGCCTTGCAGCTCATCTGCCGGCAGATGGATGTCTTCACCAGCCCAGTGACCAGCTTGGAGATATCATCCTTGTCTTCCAGAGAGCCCTTCTTGGCTGAGGAGAGAGCACACCATGAGTAGAACAAGGAATAGGGACATCTGGGCCACCCCTCCCCATAGTACAGCCCATGGAGTGAGGATGGTGTCAGGCTGCTGTCTCCCACTTTCACTTCCCCATTCTCATGGGGCACAGGCTGCCCAGGAGGAACTGCCCCATGGGTTGCAGCACATTATCAGCCCACTGGGTGCACACCCCAGCAGGCCACCAGCACCAGAAGGGCAGGGACAAGCCAGCAGGTGCTGACCCCAGACAGGGGGACAGAGACCCATCCCAAGCCTCTCTAAAGAACAGGACATATCTCCATGGGTAAAATGGTCATCTGGAGGCTTTTGTATACACTCACCCTTAGGTTTCTTCTTCCTAAAGAGCGTCTTGGTGACTTTAGCAAACAGACTCTTGGCTGGGTTGGGGGCACACAGTTCTGGAGCCATCACACAGCTGCTGGGAGGGAGCTTCTCGGGTGTGTAACCCTGCAGAGAGGTCATAGCAGAGGGTTAATTTCCATAACCCACATGAAGCAACTGCCCCGGGCTGACTGCAGCCCTCCTGACAGCAGCTTGCATTTCCGACCAGCCTTGGCTCTGGGCCTGGCATTGGGTATCAGCTCTATGGGATATCCTGTGGGATAGGGCAGCAGGGAGCACAGCAGATCCCTTGAATCCTCCGCTGGCATTTGCGCAGCACAGCAGTTGCTTTCTTTCTTAAAAGGCACTCAAGGACATCACCCCAAACTCCATGCCAGCAGCAGCCCAGCCCCAGAGCCTCATCCCAGGGTCACAGCTGGAATCCTTCACACTCACCTTGAAGAACTCATGGTCCAAAATCTCATCAAGCGTGAGGCGGTCCTGGGGGTTGCGCTTGAGGATGCCAGCAATGAGGTGCCTGGCAGGCAGTGAGAGGAAGGTGGGCAGGATGTAGTCCACTTGCTTGATGTACCTATAGGTCTCCTTCAGGTCCAGGGTCTCAAAGGGAGGGTTCCCACACAGCAAGGTGTACCTGGGAGGGGACACACGTGCCACTGTCATTCTCCCTCTGGGTTTGTGACTCAGCAGCACTTGGAGCAAGGAAATTACTGGCGTTCAGTTGCCACACCTGGCTGGGAACACCACTTCCAGCCTGGGCACATCCAGCCATGCTCTCTCCTAGCGACTGTTTGGGGGCAACAGGCGAGGAACATGGGGGCTGGGGACAGCTCTGCTGCCCTGCCCCGCTGAGGGAAGTTGTGCAGGAAGCCTGCGGGCTGAGAAGGGCTCGAGTCGCTGAGGTGATCGTTCCCCATACAAACAAGCCAGCAGCTGCCACCAACCACCAATATTTTCCGTTGTTTACGGCACTCAGAGTGTGAACACCCTGCAGCAGAGCTCAGCACAGCCTGCTGCCTGCAGCTCTCAGCCCCCACGCACTGCCCTCTCCTCCCTCTTCGCTTTTGCCAAGAGGCAAAAATGCCATGGGACCTCCTCCTTGGGGCACCCCAGAGCCCTGCCTGCCCCTTCCCCATGCACTTACATGACACAGCCCAGCGACCACACATCCGACTCGGGGCCGTGCCCCTGCCGCAACAGCACCTCAGGGGCCAGGTAGTTGGGGGTTCCACATATTGTCCTGTGGGCAGACACCGGGTCAAGAGCACGCTCTTATCTTCCCACTTCCTTGAGTGGGAGATCCAGCTGGCAGCTTGTTTCCAACCCCCACCCCCGACTCTGAGCTCCCCCCAGCTCCCAGGGCTCAGCAGCAGCTGCTCCGAGCAAGCTGCGGGGAATAACTTGTCCTAGACACAGCACGGAACAGGGCCTTTGTGTCCCAGCCTGTGCACCCGGCCAGCACAATGGCCATAGCGAGCGCATTGTTCTCCCTGCAGGCTGCAGGCACGCTCTGGAGAAGCCACAAAGCCCCCAGCCCCCTCTCCTTGTCTGCAGCTGGGGCCCTGAGGCTGCCCCTACCCCATAGCCCAGGGAGCCATAGGAAGATGACAGAAGCCCCAGACTTACTTCTTCTTTTGATCAGAGGCATCCTGGTACGCAGCCAGACCAAAGTCCCCCACTTTCAGCTCCATGTTCTCATTGATGAAGAAGTTGCCTGTGAGACAAAGGGCAATGTATTGCTGCTGGCCCCTTCAGGGCAGCCCTGAACTATTCCATCCCAGCCGTGCCACTCACCCAACTTGAGGTCCCGGTGCAGGATGCCCTTGAGGTGGAGATATTTGAGGCCTGAGATGATTTGTTTGAGGTAATAGCGCACTTCAGGCTCCAGCAGAGTGTGGCGGGCCTTCCAGATGTGGGCCAGTGACTGCAGAGGGAAAAGAAGTCAGCATGGTGTTGGGGGGGAGGGGAACAAGGAACAGGTAGGGGCAGCTCTTTCAGGAACTGCACAGAGTCACTGCGTTAGGATCACTGAGCGCTTTGTAAGGTTGAGGCTGCTCAGCACCACCAGGGGAACTCCTGGATTTATGGGGACCACACTGGGGCTCTCAGTGTGATAGAGAAACACGCAGTGCAACCGGGTGGGTTTGGCTCAGGTGGGTGATGGAATGTTAAAGAAGCAGAGCACTAACATGGCACCTCAGGACCCAGAACATGGGGGCTGCCACAGCCCTCACCTTCCGACTGCAGTGCTCCAAGAAGATGTAGATGCTCTCTGCATCCTCAAAATAGTGGGAGAACTTGACAATGTGCTTGTGGTGCAGGTCACGGTGCAGCTCAATCTCATTGGTGATCTGGAAGGGAGCAGCAGATGTGAGCAATGCAAGGCAACCCCAACACAACCCCAGCTCCCCGCTGGCATCAACACACACCTTCTCCCGTTGGTGGGGTTTAGCCACCCGGCTGTGAGGGATGACCTTCACGGCATAGGTTTTGTTGCTGGAGAGGTCCGTCATCTCATAGCATCGTGCAAAGCCGCCCTACAAGAGGAAAGGCACACAAAGACGGGTGAGAGGCAGCCTTCCTCCTCCTCACTGCCAGCTCACCCACCCAGATCTGAACCGTGATGCTCTCAAATAGGGATTTTCTCAACTCAGTTCCGGTAAAATCTCCACAGTGTTTGCGCTCCCACCATCACTGAACTCCGGAATCTTTCCCGATGACGGCTCACCCGGAAAGCCCTACGCAGGGCAGAGAGGAGCGGAGGCTACCGAGAGCGGCACGCCGGAGACAGGTTTTTCCTGCCGTGATGTCAGCCCCGAATCTGCACACTCAGCTGCCGGGCCGGGAGCAGGCAGCCGCCTCCCACACACGGCTCGCAGCGGGAGGAAAAGTTGCGTGTGCCGCAGCGGCCCTGGGAAGCGGGGTGGGAACTGGCGGCCCACGCACGGCCCCGCGGGGCGACCCGAAACCGATGTGCGCTGCGATAGACAGGCGGGGGCCGGGCCGGCCCGGTCGATCCCAGAGCCGTTCCTGAAACGAAGGGGCCCCGCTCAACCCTCTCCCTCCGAACCGGGCGGCGGCTTCCGGCCGCATCGAATCACGGCACATCCCCCCCACGACACCCTCCTCCCCGATCGGTACCTTTCCCAGCAGGCGGCCCTTGCAGTAGGAGCGGCCGGAGAGCGGGTCTGTGATGATGCGGGTGGGCTCGGCCGGCCGGGCCGACGGCGGTGCCGGGGTGGGAGCGGGCTGGGCGGGGAGGCAGGTGGCGAGGAGCGGGGGGAAGAGGCCGGCGTGCTCCATGGCTGCTCCTCCGCCACCGCCGCGCCCCGTACACGTGGCCCCGCCGCCACCGCGCGCTGTCGTTGCCGCGCCGGGGATCCCGCCCGGCTTTATCAATGGGCGCGATGGCGTCACCCGCACGGCCACGCCCACTCCGCCCGGTCTCGGCCACGCCCCCGACGTGCTCTTAAAGGGGCAGCGGCACGCAACAAGGTGGGCGGTGCGTGGCTGTTGCGGGGCGCGCGGAGCCACATGTGCATCTGAGTGGGATTACAGAGCCGTAAGTCGGCAACGGGTCTTGACTTCTTGGACGTGGGTCCCAGAGCCCCCTCACACTGAATATGGTGGGTCAGCTCACCCAAGGTAGGGCTCTGGAAACATGGGACAGTGGAAGGAAGAGGTGAGCTGTGCAGCCATGCTGTCCTTTGGGCAGACAGCCTTCTGGTATGCTTTGCCCTGGTCTGTGCACAGCCCTGTGCCCCAGGGGCCTTCATGCTGTCCCCTGTGACTGCACACAATGTCCAGTTCAGGACTGGGGACACCAATCCCCCAGCTGATCCCCCAGCACCATGGGTCTGAGTTTGGCAGTGCTGACCCCATGCACACTGGTGACTGCCAGGGCAGTGTGTCACCAAGGTGTTATTCTGTAATGACCCTAAGGAGGACACATCCCTGTGTAATCCAGAATAGGCCAAGGAGGAATGTGGGGCAGCAGGAGTGGCCAGAAACCTGTGTACCCTCCATCCTGGGTCAGCAGTGTTGCAAAAGCCCCTGTAAAGCAGATCCTGCTCCCTCTCCCTGTTCTGGGGGACTGTGTGCATGTCCCTCGTTCTGTGCCTCAGTTTCCCCTCTGCTTATTTGAGGCAGCTCCAGGCTCCACTCACTGATGCTTGTTGTGCTCCCAAGCATGCTGAAGATTTGACACAATCGATTCTGTACAACCAGCGCCCTGCATCCTTCAGGGTGCTGCAGGCAGACCGAACAAACCTGTTTTGGGGGGAGAGTTGAAGTGATCTGAATCTGCTTGCTTTTTTTTCAGTTTTCAACCTTTTGCAGAGGAAACACATGCCCACGCTCTGCCTGGCAGCAAACACAGGTTCTCCCTTTGGGGAAACAGATGGTTTCCACCAGGGCCCCCAGGGCTCTCTGTGTGCGGTGGCGTCACGGGGCACCTCTGGTTTTCTGACGGAAGCCCCAACACGGGGCTCCCCAGGCAGAGCTTTTGGTGGCAACGCGGGGGCGGGGGCACCTGGGGATGCAGGGAGGCCCCAAGGCCCTGCAGAGATTGACTGCGTGGTCTCCTGCTGAGAGCAACAACTCCAGGTGGGCTCAGGGACTTGAGAGGGTACCCGCATTCCCCCATATCCCTCCACACCCCCACCGTAGGATGGAAGGAGCTCAGGATCTGCTCCTCTTCCACTTGCAGCTCAGCCCAGCATGGTGCATGAGGGCAGGAGAGCACCACAGATGGGTGTTTTGCCATGCCAGTAGGAAGAGAGCATGGTGTAATCACAGCAGTCTGGAGAAGGGGAGCTCTGAGGCCGCCTCTCACCTGCCTGCAGCTTTTTGGTTGGAGATATGGGGAGAACAGAATCTCTTTAGAAAGGTTCCCCCTCCCTCCACCCCCCTCAAGGACCCCTGTGATGAAATGCTCAGTGGCAGCAGGAACTGGGAAGCAAAAATGTGTAGCTGATGCACAGTGCACCTGGGTGTAAGAAGGACCCTGAAAGAGGAGGCCTGCCCAGGGTTTGTGACCTTCTCAGGGGTAGGGTCTTCCTCCTCCCTTGTCCCTCTCACCGAACAGATGATGGGGCTGCAGCTGCTGAGGAGGAAGAGGAGGTGATTGAGCAGGGGAAGGAAGCAGGGTGAGCTGCTGGGGGTGTGCAGAGGGCAAGCTGCAAATCCTTCCTGCAAAGAGATGTAAAAGAACCTAGATCCCATTGAATTAAGGAAGCACTTGAATTTGGCTGTGCAAATGTGGCCCAAACTGGGAAGAGGAGCAGAACCCTCCTTGCCCCCAGGCTTCAGTGGTGTTTGCCATGTGCCTCAGTTTCCCCAGCTCCTTGGTGCTCTGAGCACACAAACATTTTGGGGTATGGAATTCTCTCTCCAGCACTGCTTTTCCTGTGGGTTGTGCTGCTGTGTCCAAGTCTGGCACCTCCTTCCCATCCGGGGAGCTGTGAGGGGTGGAAGAAAATTGTAAGGACCTGAAAGGTTGTCCCTTTGGTCCCTATCCCATGAACATGTCCACCCACGGCAGGACTGGGGGCTGCACCCCACACACAGGTGGCACCGGACGGGACGGGTTCTGTCCCCCTCCCTGGGAGAAAGGGATTAGGCAGAGCCAGAGTCCCGCAGGAACTGAGGGTACAGAAGGCGCTGATGGAGGACACAGCCTGTGGGATGGGGCGAAGTTGGAAAGGGTTCTGCAGGGGGAACGGATGGGGAGGAGTGTTTGAGTATGGGATTTTTGGGGTGGGCGGGAGAGTGGATGGGATGTAAGGGGCGGGGGGGCGGCACGGCGCTACCGGAGGGCTCGCAGAGTTAGGAGCCCGGAGAAAGGGGACGGAGCAGAGGAACCGAAGGCCGAGCACCGCTGGGCCGGGCCCGGGGGCGGTCGGGTTCCGGCGGGGCCACCCCGCGGCGAGGCGGAGCCGGGCGGCGGCGGTGCGGCGGCGGGGAGCGCGGAGCGGCCCCGGGAGCATGGGGCGGGCGGCGGCAGGTGAGGGCGGCGGCTGCGGGGCGGGGGGACCGAGAACCGGGAGGGAGCAGCGCGACGGGGCAGGGACGGGGGTGCGGGGACAGAACGCGGTTACGGGCGGAGGGACCGCTCCCCGTGCTGATCCCGCAATGGGGTGCCCATCTGCTGTGCCCTCCCACAGGCACCGTGCCCCTGTTATGGGGCGGCCTCCTGCTCGCTGCCAGCCTCGCCCTAGAGCCGGCACCGCAGAGTTGCAACTGCACCCATCCCCTGGACTTCCAGGCGTTCCGCACAGCTCCGCTCGCCGAGAGCTGCTGCCTCAACTTCACTGGATCCAATGTCACCCACCTGGACTGGGGAGCGCTGGTAGCGGTGCGAGGGCTGCGCCAGCTCTACCTCTCACACTGCAGCATCACAGCCATCAGCAACGCCCAGGGAGTCCCCCCGGCCTTGGAGGTCTTGCACTTAAGTCACAACCAGTTGGAGAGCCTCCCCAGAGGCTTTCTGGAAGATGCCCCTAATTTGAAGGTCCTCTATCTGGATGGGAACCAGCTCCAGGAGCTGCCCGCATCCTTCCTGAAAGCCTCCATCCAGCTCCAGGAACTCCACCTGGGGTTCAACGCACTGACCTCCCTCCCTCCCACCCTTCTGCATCCATCCCTGCTGCAGCTGCAGCTCTCCAATAACAGCTGGGAGTGCAGCTGTGCTTTGCTGGATGCCTTGCAGGGCACCCCCAGCCTGCCCGCCCAGCTCACCTGCTATACACCGGAGAGGCACCGTGGTGCAGAGCTGCAGAGCATCCCACGGGACGAGCTGTGCCAGCAGCACCAAAGCCTCACCGCCCTCTTCATCTGCCTGCCTCCCCTCCTCATCCTCGCAGCCATCACCTGCTGCTTCTGCAGGAGGAAAAGGAAAACCAATTACAGCCTTGGGAGCAGCCACACCTCCCCAACAGAAAGGGGCAATGTGCCTGTTTGCCCCGAGCCGCACCGCTACGTCCCCTATGAGCCAACCAGTGCCCCCTCCAAGAGCGAGGGGAAGGTGCTGCGGGGCAGCCGGGTGCTGCTGCAGCCCCCCGAGGAGAGCAGCAGGGACCTCTATGAGGAGGTGGAGATCCAGGTGGGATCCCATGTTCCAACCTACGATGAGCAGCGGGACAGCCCTGAGACAGAGGGGGACACAGTGAGTGTCACCGACGTGCTGAAGGACTCCGCTGACCGCGAGAAGATCTACATGAACCAGTCGACTAACTATTACAACCTGGTGCCTGGCATCGAGCTGGAGGACTCAGACAACCTGGAGTATGAGAACATTGAGCTACACTGATGGGTAGCTGGGCTGGGATTTGGGATCTGGCTGGAACATACTGGTGGCTGTGGGGATACGCAGACCAGTCTGCCATTTCTTGCACTGGCTGTTTGCAGAGCTGCACCCCCAAATTGCCACCCCTCCTGCTGCATTCCCCTACATGTGCCCCATGCTTGCACTGGGCAGGGCACAGGGGGTTTTCTGTGGGCTGATGGTATACTTGGACACAAGGCAAGGAGAGGAGGTGGGGCTGTCCCATCTGTACAACAGCACTGTGTGCACCAGACCCTCTGAGCAGGTTCTATGTCCTCTCTGCATCCAGCTGCATCCAGCACAGCTCTGCTGCTTCCCAGCCTACACATAATGGGACCCAGGGACAAGAAATGAGATCTGCTTACTGGGTCCCACATGGGCAGCCTGGAACAGCCCTGCCTGCTCCACCAGCACACCCTGCCGTGCCCACTGCGTTGTACACATGCACACACGCATGTGTGAGCACTGGGCAAAGGTGGGCTCGACTGGGGCCACGATAGCAAAGTGCTCATGGGGTGCAGCCTTCCCTGCCCAATGCAAAATAAATCATTGTACTCCTGGCAGTGTGGCTGCACCCTGTCTCTTGATTTGGGGCAGCGGGTGCCGACCTGTGTGACCGAGCCTGTGATTTATGGCCTACTGGTAGAAGCTGTGGGCACAGTGATCGGGTCAGGAAGGGTTGGTGGGGGGCTGTAAATTATCTCCATTATCTCCACCCACGGGTGTCCCAGCCCTGCTGCAGCCCCGTGTCCTGTACCTGTGCCTCAGCATCATGAGAAAGTCAAGGGACAGCAGGGGGATGTATGAGGGGCATTTCTTGCATTGGAAGTCTCCATGGTTGGAGCCGATACAGGCTGGGCTGGGCGCTGTGCCGGGCAGGAAGGGAGCCGGGCAGGGCGGGACACGGCGTTACGGCTGTAAAGGAAGCGGCGTTTCCTGCCCAGCGCAGCCCACAATGCGACGGAGCTGCCGACCCTGAAGGTGCTGGGCTGGGAGCACCAGTACCAGTGCAGATAGATAGGGGATGAGGATGAGGATGGGGTGATCTCACTGCACGTCCTGTTGCTCCCTGCGTATGGTTCCCAGTGGTTTTTGTCCAACTGAGATTTGCCCTTCCAGCTCTCTGCCTCCAGCTGTCCTTTCCCCTCTTAAGGGGAACTTCCCAAAGCACCCCACTGGGCACTGTACTTCCCAGCACTGTGCTTCCCAGCACTGGCACCAACAGCTCCCATCGACATCTCCGGTCACAGCGAGGTGTGGCTGAGCCTCAGTTCCCTGTTCCTTGGCTGTGACAGCCCCAATCCATCACCGTGGGGCTGATGGGTCCACACTGGGGTATTTAGGGGAAGTCACGGACATGAGTAGGGACGGGCAGAGGTTGCAGAGCGATCTGGCTGATGGGCACCAGTGCTTGGTGTGGGGGTGAGTGCATGTCCTGGCCAGCAGCAGGGACCCTGCTCCTCCCCAGGCAGTGAGATAAGGGTGCTCCTGCCCCAAGGAGTGGGGCTGTGCTGCCATGACAGTCTCCTACACACTGAAAGTCGCCAACTCCCGTTTTTGGGGCTTCTCCAAGCTGCTTTTCCGTTGGAAGGGCAGCATCTACAAGCTGCTCTACAAGGAGTTCATCGTCTTTGTGGTGCTGTATGCACTGCTCAGCATCATCTACCGGTGAGTGGGTTGCATTGCTCCCTATGCCTTCAATGTCATATGTGAGGGGCCTCGTCTGGGGGTGGGGATGTATAGGGGTCCATCAATCATGGTCCACTGGTCCTCAAGAGACTCCCCCAGGAGGGTTGGGGTGGGATTCCACAAGGAGAAGAGGACACAGACAATGGCTTTTTGTGGGGTTCCCACTGCTCGCCCCTGACCCTGCTTCATGCCTGCTGCAGGCGGCTGCTGACCGAGGAACAGAAGCGTCTCTACACCAAGGTGGCTGAGTACTGCAACCGCTCCACGGACCTCATCCCCATGTCCTTTGTCCTAGGTATGGGTCCCTCTCCTGTTTCCCAGCTGTGGGGCTGCCCTCCCTGCCCATCCTGGCTGGGGGCTGGAGGAGTCCTGGGAGTGACTCTCAGCTCCTGGAGCCACTCTTGTCCTTGGAGATACCAATGGGATGATCATCCACCAACCCCAACCCACCCCACCATGCGCACTGACCATGCCCCTCAGTGCCACATCCCCTTGGTTCTTGAACACCTCCAGGGATGGTGACACCACCACCTCCCTGCTCAGTCTGTGCCTGTGCCTGACCACTCTTTTGGAGAAGAAATTTTTCCTGATATCCAACCTGAAAGAGTCAGGGATATCCCCATCTCCATCCCTGGGAACAGTAACCCCAGAAATTCAACGGGAACTGGTTCATCTTCACCGGACCCAACCACTCAGAGCTCCCAATGGAACGTCTCTCTGCAGGCTTTTATGTCACCCTGATTGTGAATCGGTGGTGGGCACAGTACACCAGCATCCCACTGCCTGACCAGCTCATGTGTGTCATCTCCAGCAACGTCCACGGCAAGGACGAGCGGGGTCGGATCCTGCGGCGCACCCTGGTGCGCTACGCCAACCTGTCGGCCGTCCTCATCCTACGCTCCGTCAGCACCAGGGTGCTCAAACGCTTCCCCACCATGGACCATGTGGTGGAAGCTGGTGAGGGGTGACAGACCCCAGGATGATGGGGTGGGAGAGGTGGGGCCCTTAGAGGTGTTACTCTGGGGGAGTTTGCAGTAGGGATGCCCCGCTAATCTCCAGCCCCTTGGATGCTGTACCCAACCATGGTGTGGAGAGCTTATTTTCCTACATAGGCATTCATCCCCAAAGACACCTATGTCTTCTCTGCTCACCAACGTCTCCCATGGCTGTAGGTTCCATGCAGAACCAGATTCCTGTTGGGACCGCCCCCAAAATCATATCCCCCAAAAGGTCCCTTTCCCTTCATCTTGGGATCCATGGTGCTGATCCTCTGCCTTGCTGCAGGCTTCATGACGCAGGATGAGCGCAAGCAGTTTGAGAGCCTGTACTCAGACTTCAACAAGTACTGGATCCCCTGCGTCTGGTTCACCAACCTGGCAGCCCAGGCACGGCGCGATGGCCGCATCCGTGATGACGTTGCCCTGCGTCTGCTGATGGATGTGAGTCGGCATCAGGTGTGCAAGGGGCTGAGAAGTATGGGGGATAGGCAAAAACCCACCCGTGCCTCCCTGCTAGGAGCTGAACCTGTTCCGGGCCAAGTGCAGCATGCTGTTCCACTACGACTGGATCAGCATCCCACTGGTGTACACACAGGTGAGTGACCCCAGCCCAGCAGCAATGTGGGATTGCCTCCCTTCACTGTCACCTTCTGTCCCCATGTTCCCCACGCAGGTGGTTACCATTGCTGTGTACTCCTTCTTTGCCTTCTGCCTCATTGGGAGGCAGTTCCTGGAGCCGCTGGAGCCAGGGCAGGAGGGGGACCTGGATATGTACGTCCCTCTCTCTACCCTCCTCCAGTTCTTCTTCTACGCTGGCTGGCTGAAGGTAAGATGTGACCACATGGCTGGGATGTGCCTTAAGGGATTCCTGGCATAGCGCATGTCACAGCAGGGCACTGGGTAGATGGGACATGGAACACTGGTCTGTTTCGTGATTCATAGTTTGGTGGACATGGTGGCGATGGGTCAGTGGTTGGACTGGATGATCTCAGTGGTCTTTTGCAACCTGAATGATTCTATGATTATGTTCTATGTTTCTATGTGGACTGAAGGATGGAGAGCCCTGTGGGAAGGTGTCTCCGTAATTGTCCCTGTGTCCTTGTGTCACCTGTTCCCTCCCTCCCTCCCCAGGTTGCAGAGCAGATCATTAACCCTTTTGGGGAAGATGATGATGACTTTGAGACCAATAAATTGATAGACAGAAACCTGCAGGTGGGTCCTGCCCTGGGCTGTCATCGGGTTGGGTGGGCATGGGGACACCCAGCAAGGTGCCAATGCCACATCTAGGTGTCCCTGCTGTCGGTGGATGACATGTACCAGAACCTGCCACCAGCCACCAAGGACAAGTACTGGAACGAGTCCGTGGCTCAGCCCCCCTACACCATAGCCACTGCCGCCGAGACTCTGAAGCCCTCCTTCCTGGGCTCCACCTTTGACATGCGGTGAGTGCACAGGACATCCCAATTGGAACACGGAGGGAGTCCCTACCACCGATCTGGTGGGCTCAGTGGGGACCTCGGGGACAAGCGGCCACCCTAACCACCCCTCTGTGCCCCTCAGCATGACCGAGGACATGGAGCAGAGCCAGACGGTGGAGGCCTCGCCGAACATGGCCCGCACGCAGACCCCGCTGCTCAGCCGCTTCCTCGCCGCCGCATCCCCTGCCATCAGCATCAAAAATTTTGGTCGAGGCGGCCGAGCCACCCCTCACCTGCGGCGTGCCAGGGGGGACAGCAGTGCCCACAGCGAGGACCCCGAGGCTGTCAGCCGCATCGAGGAGGAGGAGACGGAGGATGAGGAGAGCCAGAGGGGCAGCCCCCACTCCCCAAAGGCCTCCAATAAGCAGGAGAAGCTGCCACTGATCCAGGTGGAGGCACCATCCACAGAGAGCATTGAAATTGAGCAGCCAGGGGCTGGGGAGCCATGAGGAGGTGGAAGAGCCCTGTCCCAATGCACCCCTGGCCAGAAGCAGGACCTCACCAGTCCTGAACCAGGGTTTGTCCCCAGGGTGGGGGGGAGGTGCTGATGGGTCGGGGCGATGCCACCACTTGCAGCTGGCCAGGCACACTGCCTGCTGCCAAAGGGACAGCCCAAGCACTGAGCCAGGTCAGAGCAAATGTGTTCAGCACCGTGCTGGAATGTACCCTCAATGTTAATAAAGTTCTTGCCAGCCTTGGATTTGAGGATCTTTGTTGTCACTCCCAGCAGTGAGGGGCAGGAACATCAACTGCATCCTAAAAGTGGGTGAACTCCATCCCATGGGCTCAGACTGCAATGTCTATGGGGCTTCAGACCAGGTTACACAGCTGCATGCTACAAAGCAAAAGGTGCTTTCAGCCTCTGCAGATGAATTCCCCCATCCAGACATGTTCTCCATGGGTATAACAGCAGGGCTGCTAAAAATCCCCTTTCTAAAGACTTTACCCAGAATTAATCCAGGCCTGACAAAGGCACTGGCACTCATGACCGTCTCCAAGTTCAAGCAGTATAACCCAGCACCTATATGGCTCAGCTCATTGCATGCTTGCTGTAAATCACTGCACAGTCACGCCAGGAGTGATGCCTCCTACTTCCCAGCTGCACGAGGCCTCGTGCCCGTGTCACCACAGGTACTGGCAGTGCCACACAGCCTGGCTATCTGCCATCCTGCCATGTTCCCATGTCCCTGCAGCACAGCTATGGGTGCCGGCTCCGTTCCCACGGGCTGTCACCCTTGGCAGCAGCGATAGCAGTGCTGGCCATTGATGGATCAGTCATAATCCTGCCCATCATGGCAAGGTTTACAATCCCTGCCCTTACCCTCACACTCATCTCAGCTCCTCCTTCTGTCCAAAGTCCCCCAGGAACTCCCTGAATCCTGTTTGCTCTCTGCAGAGGGTGAGCGGCGCGAGGCAAACGCGGAGGAAGCTGCCGTGACGCATCCCTCCCAAATGCCCTTTATCGCAGCCACCGCACCTCTCTGCAGAACACGTTGCTAGAAAGCAGGGAAAGTTTATATGCGATCACTATGGAGAAAGAATGTGCTTGTGCAAACATCACACCCAGCCAGGCCCTGCACTGAGACTCCCAAGTGCCCGTTTCACCCCTGCAGTGAGCACAAAGCTGGGCTGCAGGGCAGTGGCACTGCTGGCTGATCGTTGATGTCTCTATCCACCCCCAGCACCCACCAGCAAAGCACGGTGAATCCCTGCAGCTCAGGTCATCCGTGCCCACTAGCACCTCCTGCTGTCTGCTGTCAGGGCAGGGCACACAAGAAAACCAGTAAAACAGCCTTATTTGTGGGGCAGGCGGCCCTCGCTGAAGTGCTGGAGCTCAGCACACTACCCAGCGAAGGACCCTCAGTGAACTTCACTAAGCACTGCCCGACGGAAGGAGTTACATTTTATCCACTACAGCTCTGCTGGGGGCAAGCTGATCATGGACTCCTCCAGCTGAGAGTTAAGTGCGAGGTTTGGGCCACAGCCAGCTTCCATCTCACCAGAGCACTCCCACGAACAAACAGGCTTTTGTAAGAATGTACAAGTGGGTCAGGTATGCAGAGCATGCACTTAGCAGGCACCAGATGTGTGAACATTCAGTCTGCCCAGAGCACTGGGGAACTACAAGCCTGATGTTATAATGACTTTGTAAAGTTACTTGTCATCAGATGCTCCCAAACAAGGGCAAAAAACTCATCAGAGTTTCCTAATCCTGCTCTAAGTGACAATGTGAAAAGCTGGAGCTTGTACCCAGCTTTCGAAAGGGGCAAGCCACAGAGAGAGCCTGGCCCTTCTGCTAGAAGGGATTTCTCTTGCACTGGAATGAGACCAGGAGATCAGGGAAAGACCAGCTAGTCACTGACCAGTGCAGACATTCAGCCAACAGCTGGTTTAGAACATGATCCTGGACCTTAAAGGTGAGCGTGCAGCCAGGCAGAAAGCACCAGGCCACGGCAAATAGGACTGCTGGCGCCAACCAGAGGACAGAAAAAAGGCAGGAGATACCAGCTGCAGGGGCCAGGGCTGTGACATCTGCTTTCAGCCAGATGCAGTCTAACAAAGGTTCAGTGCTGCACCTCTGAAGCTGCTAAGTGGGCACCCTCCTCCTGAGGCAGCTTGGCAAAGGGCCCCATGCAGTCAGTGCTCCCCTAAGGTACCAGAGGGCGAAGGGGAACACGTGCCCTGCCTGAACCACTCTATTCCCAAAAAGCCAAACTCCAGCAGGAATGAACATCCACACCCTCCCTCTGCAGTCATTTTTTCTAGCATTGGTAATATGCCATTTGAGCTTCATTCCATGTCTTTTACAAGTATCTGTGCAGTAATAATAATAAAAAACAACCTCCCGAAGTTGCCAACCTCGATTCCTGCTGACGACTCTTCCACATCCACTTGGTTCACTAAGTCACTGCTGTAGAACCCAGCGAGATGTTAATCAACAGCAAGCAGGGTCAGAGTTTACCTCAAGACAGAAAAGCACCTGGCGATCGCAGGGGAGCCTTCTTGCTTTCATGCTCCTAAGGAGCTACAAGGCCCCTCTGCACACAAATAAGCACAGGACCCATTTATTACAGGAGACTCGTGTGTTTATTGGCTCTTTCAGGAGAATCGTTAATTTTCATTTGCCTTTTCTGGCCTTGATCTTCCTCAGGTAGAACTCTAATTCCTTGCCTTCCAACACATAACCATCAGCTCGGCCACACTGTCCAGGTCTGGAGGCAATGCAGGCTGCAAGGAGAACTCATTCAGTTAAGTTAAATAATTCCCTATATACATATACACAAATCAAAGGAAACATTACTTGCAGTCTCTCTGTAAAAGCATGAATGAACAAGGACCAGTAACATACCAGCTTACGTGCTTGCTTAAGTACCCCCCCTGAGATACCTTGCTCTGAACCTGCTCTGCTGGACTACACCCACAAAGAAGTCCTCTTCAGATCTCCAAACAGTCATCCCTCAAATTCAGTAGCAGAACTGGACAAAGGTCTCATCACCAGAAGACTTCAAAACACTGAACTATCTGCAACAGAACTTGACACTGCTCAAACTGCTAACGTACATGCTGAGCTTTTCCTGGAACACAGTCCACCCATGTCTTCACTCATTTTGCAGGTCTCAAGCCCCATCGTTTCCCTCAAGGCCAAAAAGGCAGGTCTGCTAGCTGTCGCCCCCAGTGCTTCAGCTGCAGAAACATTTTATGTTCCTGCCAGGGCTGGGCTATCTCCAGACAAAGTACAAGAACAGTTACTCTTACCACCCAGAACACCTGCAGACAGATAGGGAGAACTCTCCCACTGCTTTCACCTTGCAGTTAACTTTATCACAGCTTGTAGACACAGCTTGACATGATCCCAGGAGCAAGAACAGCATCTGTTCTGGCACTGCTGACTGACTCCCTCATCCACACCCACACTAATGCTCCCAGGGACTCACCCAGTAGCTTTCCTTGCTGGAACTGCTCCTCAAGAATACTGGCTATCTTGGCATTCTTCTTTCGCTCGTCATATTTCTTCTGGATCTTCTTTGAACGCTTCTTGTTCAAGATTTCTTCTTCCTCAGGTGTCTAAAATGAAGCCCATATGTAAAGACAAGGTCAGCATAAACTGAAGACAAGGTTGAGAATGTGATTATTTCTTGCAAGAGATCTTCACTGAAAATAGAAGGATTTTCTTTAAGTACTGTTATGTCCCAAATCACATCTTCTCAAGGCACAAATACTTCACAGAATCAAGTGCTGTTTTCTTTTTGTTTGTTTGTTTTTACTTTTGAGGTCAAGAAATGAAACATTACTGACTGGAGTCACCGCTGACAACAAAGGACAGTGCCCTCAGGCAACTGCCCTGACAGATGAAACTGCAAAGGCTTCTTCAATTAGCTAATTCCCCCAAAGAAAGTGAATACTCTCCTTCTACAGATGTAAGAGCACACAGGTGTGGTGCAATTCCTGGCAGACAAGCTACAAGCTCTCCCCATGCTCTGAACCATGCAGTGGGTGAGCAAATGAGAGCTTTATTTTTAACACAAGACTACCTTAAGCTGAATACTGCCCAAGTGTTCAAAAAACTTTTAACTATCTGGGGTTTGGATGTTGAAATTTGAGGCTGAATGAATCTGGATAAAGACACTTTAAAACGCTTCTAAGCAAGTTAGTAATCCATTAGCTTTTAAATCAGAGGGCACAATTCCTCAGCACAAGGACCTGACCGCAAAGTCTTCCTCAGCATCACAAGTGTCATCGCTCTCCCTTCAGTAGCAGAACTGGACAGAAGTATCATCATCAGAAGACAGAAGATGGACAGTCAGACCCTCGTGCACAACAGAGCGCCATGTCTCAGAACTCTGCGGTCCCGAATGCTCCATTAACAGAACCTGACTTATTCTGCTGGGAATGCAGCCCACAAGACCAGTGCTACCGCTGTCAGGAAGCCAATCAGTGCTGGCAGGTGCTGGTCACTCACAACAGCTAGCTGCCAAGAAACCGAGCAACCCCAGGCATACACACCAGCTTGGCACCCTTCTTGCGTCCGAGGGGCAAGGCATAGTGGGCTTCATACCACTGTCGGTACGGCGTGCTGTCAACAAGAACGATGCAGTTCTTCACCAGGGTCTTCGTCCGCACCAGCTCATTGTTGGAAGCATTGTAGACAACATCAATGATCCTGGTCTTGCGAGTGCAGCCTTTCAAAAGAAGAGCATGAATTCAAACCTATAGGAATCAGACAGCTGACAACATGCTCCATGGGATCTCAAGCATACCCTAAACTCAGCTCACATCACCCCCTCAAATGTCCTCCAGCCCCCCGACACTGCCTTTAATTTAGCCCACATTTATCTTTTTTTTTTATCCCAGCAATCCAAATCTGATCCTACAACACAAGTCTGTATGTGGAAAAAGGTCCATCCTAGATGAGAGACTGAAACCTGTGGCGCTGAAGGAACTCATCTCTAAGATGACTAAATAATGCTGAACAGCAGATTTCTGGAGTGGAAGATACCTTAGCAGATGCCAATCAACACCACACAGAGGGCTCAATCCTCAATCCAGCTTCCTACAATTACCAAATAAACTGAGCTGAATGTATGGAATGGGAGCCATTTTTACAGGAGAAGAGATTTTGAATAAAGTGGGAGATGAAGCTGGGCTTTCACTCTTCACGGCCCACATGAAACTCTCAGCATTCAGCTACTGCATTTAGCAGTTGTCACACAAAGGACAGGTTAAAAAAACACAACAAGTTTTCCTCTCTTCACTCACATACCTCATACTTGTTCTGCAAGGTGAGCTCAATCCCCTCATTACTGCAATTCTGTCTAAAAATGGCAGCACTTTTCATTTTAGACAATGCTCTGCCATCACTAAGAAACCACGTGCTCCCTTGTCAATACACTGGTCAGGATGCAAGCTGCATTGATGAAAACCTGTAGGCATTCTTTTTTTTCACCACAGGGTAATCACCCCACCCCAATAAGCAGCCAGTACAAGCACGCCCCTCAGTGTAACTATGACACTCCAATCACTGTGAACCCAGCAGACATCCAAGTCTCCCAAGGCCACATAATGTCAAAGTTATCATCACCATGCGTACTGCTTCGAAGCCAACTCTGCAAAACATATTCAAATCCAGCCTAAAAATCTATGGTTACTTCTACTCCGTTAGCAGCACTGGAGACTGACTGCCACAGCTGTAAAAATGCATTTAAATCACATTGCACTGATGACGTACTTACATTCAGAGCCCCAAGAGAAGTTGCCAACATCCAATCGAAGGGCACGGTATTTCTTATTACCACCACGAACCCTCACTGTATGAATTCGGCGTGGACCAATCTACAGACAGAAAAATAATTGGCATTGCTGGTATCAGTAAGCAGTGCAGCACGTGAGGAGCCCAGTCAAGTCCTAAGCTGGAAGGCAGCACGGTCAGTGTAACTATGACATACCCCAGCATTGGCAGATACAGTAAATGACCAAAACGGTCTGTTGCATCTACCTAAGGTGAAAGTTTCATCACTCCTATTGCCTCTTATTGCTAAAACTGGCAAACCACATCTGAAAAATGACTGACTGCCCTCCACCAACCACCCACCTTAGTGTTAGCAGGAGGCCGACCCAGCTCATACTTCCTCTTCTTGTGGTACGGCTTCCTCTTGCCCCCAGTCTTGCGACGCTTATGCCAGTTGTCCCTGGAGATACCTGAATGTATGGAGCAGCGTGGTCAGAGTGTGCACAGACCCCACCTGCCCACAGTGGGGCACACCTCTGAGTCCTCAGCTCTCCAAGGTTGGCATCCGCACAGCACACTCAGCTTTATGCAGCAGTCAGAGAAGCTTCATCATTGAGACTCAGAGGCACTTTGATCACTTCCAGCACAGCCGCACAGAGCAGGCTGTTTCTATCCAGCATGTTTGCAAGCTTCTCTAGTTCTCTTTGGGTTGCAGCCCCCCAACTTACCTTACAAGCCCCGGCAAGAAGCATCTCATATTGAGCAATTAAGTCCGCAACAACAGAAGCTTTAAAACACCGACTGAATCTGGCAGAGCACGCTCTACACCATCAAACTGCACGTCCCTATAGGAAACGAGGCACCTCAACCCATCCTCCTCTGAGCCAGGCTGCAACGTCCTACAGGCAATCAGCCTTAGCCCCACCACCCTGCATATCCATCCCATCTCCTGGGGGCTGCAGGAAGGCCCGAAGCACCCCGCAAACACATCGCTATAAAGAAGCCCCGCACTGAGGCCCGGCGGGGCCGCCTCCCCCCAGCGCCATGTTGAGCCTGGGCAATCTTCTCCCACCACCTACTCGGCGCTGCCGCGGCCTCTCCCAAAGGAAGCAGCAAGAGATAGAGGCACCCCCAGCCACCGCTTGGCAAAGAACACAGACAGGCAGCGGCAGCACAACGAGCGGATGGCGGCGGATGATGACCAGGCCCAGCAGCAACCCCACTCACCCATGGCGCAGCACCGCCGCAAAGAGGCGGTGCAAAGGATCACGGGGCGGTTTGCCGCCGCGAATTCTCGCGAGGCCGTGACGTCATCGCGCCGGAACCGCGGGCGGGCGCTGTTGCTAAGAGACAATACAGCGACAAGAACCCTGTAGCTGATTTGCCTGTCTGCGGCCGTCATTACCGTACGGCTCATTAATTTGCATACCCGGCGTGCACCGCGGCGGCGCGACTCCGACAGCGCTGCGCAGCGCCGCCGTTCCCGCGGGATAGCGAGGGGTGTGTGGGGCCGCGAGCGGAGTACAAAAGTGGAGGATCGGAAAAGGAGGACAGAGTGGGACAGACGGGGATCGCCGTGTGCTCAGGGAGGCGGGCGGGCAGTGGGATGAGGGCTGGGAAAGAGCAAGGGTCATACTCTGGTTTCTCTTCAGATCGTATAAATCTTTCGCCTTTTACTAAAGATTTCCGTGGAGAGGAACAAGCACGAGTGTCGTGGAATTTTTTGAGGCTCTGCTTCGGCGGAGCTATTCCTGCTGTGGTTAAGGACAGAACTAACGTCAGCGCGATGAAGCTGCTACAGCCTCCGCGCAGCTCGAGTTACGGAGCGAGAGCCCCTGCTCGTTGTGCTGGGCTGATCCAGTGCTGGCTCGCGCAATAAGTGCGAGTGTCGTGAGGCTTCTGAGTTTTCAGTTGTGAATTTTCTAAGTATCGTGAGGCTTAATTTCCGCGGAGGCTCTCGCTATTGCTTTCGTGGAGCATTTTCAGCATTGCAGGTGAAAAGCAGAACAAGCACGAATGCCGTGGGAATCTCTGAGTGTCGTGGAATTGTTGATGCTTCCCTTCAGTGGAGCGATCTCACTGTTGCTTCATATCACAGTGGGCGTTTCGGCTGTGCTGTTCGCTGATAATGCAACGTCCCGAGTTCCATTCAGTTTCCGCAGTGCAGCCCCCATAGCGCAGTCCCGCACAGCGCTCCGCAAGCAGGCGCGCACCGCCCGGCTCCCACCGTTCAGTTTCGTTTCAATTCGGCGCCAGGCAGTACCGCCCCGACCTGAGCGCTGAGCGCTGGGGCAATGGCGCCTCCTCATTAGCATGCGGCAAATTAGCATACAACTTATTAGCATACCCCGCGTGCAGACGGCGGACACGCGCGCCACGCCGGGCTCCGCCGATCCGCGCGTGAGCGGCCGCCGGGAGCGGACGGGGCGGCGGGGAACGGGGCGGTGCGGAGCCGGGCTGTGCCGGGAGGAGCGGAGCAGGGCAGGACGCCGTGTGCTGGGGGCGGCGGGCCGGCAGTGGGCACGGGGCCGGGCAGGGGTGGGGTTATACTCTGGTTTCTCTTCAGATCGTATAAATCTTTCGCCTTTTACTAAAGATTTCCGTGGGGAGGAACAAGCACGAGTGTCGTGGAATTTTTTGAGGCTCCGCTTCGGCGGAGCTATCCCTGCTGTGGTTAAGGACAGAGCGAG